CCTCAAACGCTGAAGAAAGCAGTTGGGGGACGTATTGCCCAGGAATGGATCCTCCACCTCCATCAGAATATATCACATGTTTGGGAGACTTGTATAGTGTTGCATGGATGGAGGACAGGTAATGCAAACTAAACGATTGCTTGATTGATAAGTAGTAATATTTGGGAAATTATAGTTATAAAACCAATTTGTCCACGCGTGTTATACTAAAAAAATTAAGCAAGCTAATGGTTTACATGGTGGTTCAAGGGTAAAGCAAGCTTATCAAGTGTTACTCTGCTGGTTTGCTGATGATTACTCAATGTTTAACTTGTTTTCAGCGAGTCTCATAACCTGAAGAAGGAAACAATAAAACAGCAATACGAGAAGGTGAATAAACCAAGACTTTTATTTGGCGCATCTAATATATTCTTATGAGCTATGTTGTTCGAACTTTTCAAATATGTGTCTCACCCATTTCAGACCTCCAAAGTGCACTATTTTTGGACTATACGAAACTCATCCGATGGCATTATTGAGGAGTCCGAGCAACGTAGTTTGTGAGGAGTCGTCGTCATTGAATTTTAATGCTATATTGTGATTGTAGGTGAAGGAAAGAACTTCCAACTCCAACAACTATAATGCTGGATCTCATGTTATGGAATATGGAAGCAAAGAAATTAAGCCCGAGAAAGTTTACTTGTACCAAGGATTTGACCCTGCCACCGTGAATCTTCCTGCGAACAAGATTGATTTCGCACGATTGGAGGTGGTCAATCAGAGGGATGCTGATCTTCTCTTCTTATGGGAAAGAGTAAGTTTTGAATATCTTTGTATAATAATTGAGTAATTTCATTATACATTCGAGTAGGAGAGGGATTAAAACTCATCAAAGTAGAAATGTTTGGTCAGTCATATAGAGTGGGATGGAGAGGTACAAGTTTGTCTAGTGACTACAGTTACATTTATGTTTTGTTTTATCCGATGACCGTTCTTCAAGTGGAAGCATTCTTTTGTATGGCAGCTCACTAGTTCCCTGATATTTTTATGTTAAATCCAGATTATAAGATTAGCCTACACTTTTTATTGAACTAGAGCTTGAATTGGAATTTGAACGCTACGAATTCACCTGTGGGATATTGTTCGAATTTAGAAACCCCCACCCCAAAATTTGAAATACTATGAGCACCCGTTTTATAGTTCTGCTTGGTGGTATATCATTTTGATTTGGTCTTGGTACATGTTTTCTTGGTCTATACAGTATAAGAAGCTGGAAGACAATTCACTCGAGAAGGCCAAGCTTCGGAAAGAGATTACTGAGACACTGCAGCATAGGCAACATCTTGATGGGAGCATAGATGCAGTTGGAGTGTTTCTTTTCGGTCCAATAAAGGGTGGTTCTGTTCTCAGCTCTGTCCGAAAACCTGGTCTACCTCTCGTCGATGATTGGGAATGCCTAAAATCAACGGTAAAATAATCTGATCCAAGTGTAGTAAATGTTTGTTAAATTCAATGACTTTGGAATTCCTGAAGACATACTTGATATTGTTTTTCTTGCCAGGTTCGCCTTTTCGAGGCACATTGTGGTTCGCTGGCACAATATGGCATGAAACACATGAGAGCATTTGCAAACATTTGCAACAATGGTATCTCCAGAGATGCTATGGAGGAAGCATTTATGGCTGCTTGCAATGGACATACAGAGGAGTATAGCGCTGCGAACCGAGGCTTTAGCGCTTGATGATGACTCAAGAGTAGTCTTGTTTTTATCATACAGACTGCACAAGAGTTGCCTAGCTACAACAAAATATGTTTGTAAGATTGTAATTTAGGTCACTATATGCTCTTCCTTTTGAGTTAGTTATGTACACCAACTCCTGTACAATAGCACTCTTCGATGCTAGTCATATAATAATGCTCTGGTCGTTGGGTAATGTCGTCAATTCCGTCCGTCTATATCGAATTTAACTAATGTGAAAAGAAATTTAAAGGTTTTTTTTAGCTACTTGAAACAATCAAAAAATCAATTTTATGAAATTCAACGTCACATTTTTTTTCTTTATTGGTCCAAAAGTCCCCCTTTTGACTTGTTCTAATGAAACTGATTTTTTTCTTCTTGGACCATAATAAGAGAACTTCCCTGTTTTATAAGGTCATGTGATGCTGAATATATGCTACTCCTATTTAATTGTGTTGACGGAGTATGTGCAGAGGCGTATCCAGGATTTTGAGATGATGGGTGCACTGTTATAAAAAGGTTGATCTATGATATAAATTTGTTCGGTTCGATATTTAGAATTTTACTATTGAAAATCGTTAAAATTTTAAAATTATAGGTCTAAAATTAATTCTTAAATATCTAAAATTAGATAACACTTCTCTAAGTGGTTATATATACATATATATATATATATATATATATATATATTACCACTTAGAGAAGTGTTATCTAATTTTAGAAAGAAAATAAAACAAGATAAATATAAAAATTCAAAATTTCTAAACCTCGCGGAGAGAGGTGCACCCAGTCATAATCACATTATGTGATACTTCAAGTGTGGGTTCACACATCTATATTTCAACATTTTTTTAAAAATATAACACTACTATATATGATCTCGGAAGGGGACCATGGGTTCACATGAACTCAGTGACTCCCCTTAGATACGCCTCTGAGTAAGTGGTGTATCAACGCTAGGCGTGTCAATGGTACAATTCGGTTTTTTATATTATATATATCAATAAATTCAGTATTAAGCCATCAAATGCAACATGGATCACCATATATACTTGTGGTTGATTTTGGTATTACATATAACAATTTGGAACACACACATTAGTTTGGTGGCCTCCAAGATTAATTAAAATCAACATCAAATGTGGGAATTGTCGATAATATTAAACATGTAAAAGTATCAACTAACTACTCTAATTAAATATTCTCAACTCCTGAATTAGTAGTGAAAACAACTTAAGAAAATCTGATTTGTAGGGATATGGTCAGATATTCATTTATTTGAAGGAAGATTCTTTAATTTATGCTGTAGAAGTGGACGTCCACATTAATCCCTTCCATACGCACATGTGATATAATATGTAATATAATATATACTTTTTAATTATTCGATCTCATTGATGTAGTTTTTTGCGATATGAAAACTAAAACACACAAAATTCGTTTTGATGATAGCAAAGAGGGGTGTCTTTTCCAATCTTCTTGTACTATAGGGAAAATATATATCTACTCCATACTGACATTTGAATAATTCGAGAAATCAAAATATGAGGCTCAAATGGGTAAAAAAATGATTGTACTAATTTGTTGTTTTATATATCACGATAGGTGGTGAAACGTAACAAAGATAGACCTCCACAAATACCATCTAATGAAAATAATGTTTAGACACTATTGAGTCTAACATAACAAAAAGACAAAAAAAAGAAGGCATTAAAGAGACTCTTTTTGAAGTCCTAATTAACCAAACCCTAAACACTTTCTAGGATTACACAATATTCATCAAGTACATGTCTCTTTAGTCTTTATTGATTAATCAATTTCTAAACGGAAAAGGGTCATATTTATCCATTTACTATCCAAAATAGTTTAAATATGCCCTTCGTTATATTTTTGGGCCAAATATACCCTTATCGTTATACTTTGGGCCAAATATACCCCTCATCCGTTAAAACTTTGAATCTCAATCTTAGAATAGACAGGTGGAGGGTTGAGATTGATTTGAAGGACCCATATTTTTTTTGTCCTAGACAACATCTAAAATAACTCATAATCCAATCCAAGTAAGGCTTCTCATATCAACAGACAACAATGGAGTAATGTCATATTCATCTAAGTTGATGATTCTCAACATCTGAATACACGACACTTACAAATCTCAGCAATTAATTGAAATTTCAATGAGTCAAGTGTCAATGGTGAAGAACTGGAGAATTTTGAATTATTTTTTTCAAGCTCATTGTCAAATTTATAGAATCTAAAATGAATTCAGTTGAATCATACTAAGCAAGAGAAAATCTCAGCTTAAAAAGGAATAATCCAAATAATTTTCAATAATCCATTGATTTACAGCAACTTCCTATCACAAATTTGAAGGTCAAAGACCCAACAATTTCGTTTCCAACTTCTCCACCCAATGTGCATTATATGTTTAGCGCGTCAATCCAAATCAATTAAATTTTAAGCATCACATCAATTGAACTTTCACAAATTTTAGAATCAAACCCAGACAATTCATTGAAAGAATTGTGCTTTTGTTTGCTTATTCAATAAGAAAGTTCAATTATAAGAACAACACACAGTAAACTATTTTTAAAAAAATTGCAACTTTTTTTCCAATATTTTATATTTTTGATAGGCAAAATAAATGAAAACATTAATTAAATAAACCAATTTTCATGTAATGCAGGAAGCTAAATATTTTCATGTTTATAAATGGGTTTGGGCAAGAAAGCAGGGGGAGTGGGTGTTGGCTGAGACAAAAAATTATGGTCCTTCAAATCAATCTCAACCCTCCACCTGTCTATTCTAAGATTGAGATTCAAAGTTTTAATGAATGAGGGGTACATTTGGCCCAAAGTATAACGGTAAGGATATATTTGGCCCAAAAATATAACGAATGACATATTTAAACTATTTCGAATAGTACGGGGGTAAATTAAAGAGACTCTTTTTGAAGTCCTAATTAACCAAAACCTAAACACTTTCTAGGATTACACAATATTCATCAAGTACACGTCTCTTTATTGATTAATCAATTTCTAAATGATGATGATGTGATTCTAGAGAGGTTTTCTTAACCAATCTACTGTGTACGAGTTGCTGATTTGTTTTTGGAGAGTCAATTTCACCCACGATCTAGATATTATATTTCCAAAAGAGAGCTCGATAAAATAGACATTTGTGAAGATGCAATCTAAGATCGCATATCCAGAACTTTAATTTGGAAATAATATTGCTTTGTGATATTTTAAGACAACAACTAGAATAGACACAAAGAACATTTAAGTATTTACAAAAAAACTACATTTATTTGAGAATTGAGCTAGAAGGTTAACAAAAAATTGTACAAAGAAATCCTTCACACCCACAACATTTGACATTATGCGAAACATAGCAAAAGTTTAATGTATCAAACTGTCTTTTTTTAAAATAAAAAAAACTAACATAAACTAAACCTCTCCTACACAAGGCCTGGGATGGAGGGTTATGCTATTTGCACATTACAATTTTCTCCAATGTTGACTCAGCCACAACTCATCAGTAACTCTGCCTCCACCTCAGCTCTCCACCACCACCACCTGTGGCGGCAATTCTTGATTTAACGTTCTCGAATTCGGATATCCGACATGGTATTTGGATCCGACCCGGATAATTATACCCATAAACCATCTCTGCCTCCCTCAACAATTCAGCAAACAGAGGATGATTAAAGTATATCACAGGCACCACAATTCTACACGTGTCATCATCCTTCTCACCCACGTATACAGCCAAGTGTCCCTTAGGTACACTCACCTGCTTCAGATCAATCGGTTCTTGCCCGACCCGAATGTAACCCGAGTTGGGTTTTGCAGAACAGAGTCCTTTTGCTCTCTGTTTCAGCAAAACCCCCAATTTACAGAGCTTTGAAATTGCTCTGCTTGCACAACTCAGCCGCTTGTTTCCAATTCTTCCGTTTCTTCTCCGGTGAATTAACCAGCTGAAAACTCTCACCAATCTCCGTCCAATTCTAAAACCTCTGTGTTTCTTCATAGCTTAAAATCTTGAAAAGAAAAAAAAATCACCTTTTTTGACAATGGGTTAATAACAGAGTACTTCAAGAAGTGGTAAATGCCACTTTTTGAAGGGGAATTTGGTTCTTGGTTTAAGAGAGCTGTGGCAAGTCAAACATGGTGGAACAAATGTATCACTCTGTTTATATAGATTTGAGAGGTGGGGGTGGGGGTATGGGATGAAGTAATGGTCGGCACACACGATGAGAATTGTTGGAATTTGAGATATATTTATGGAGAGAAATAAAAAGAGAGACAAAGAAGAAGAGTGGTCAGCTGAATAGTCGTTGTGATGCTTCGCGGCTGTATGTAAGTTTGAGGGGCCAGTAATTAAGGGCCCCTTTGGACAAAGATTTTTTTTAAAAAAAATATTCAAGAATTTGTTTGGTTATATATTCTCCGTTTTTGCTTATCCAGTATTGATTTGTCATACTCTTAAAGAAACAATTCAATAATAAATAATAGTAGAAAGATAATTTTAGTATAACACCCTTTATATATAAAAAATGACTATAGTTAATGTTAGCTGGTTTAAATCAATATAAACACTATTAAAATAATGAAAAATTATGCATTATCAAAAAAGTCACAACTCTTCAATATGAAAATGTGTTTTTCAAATTGCATCTTTTCGGAAAAAGTATTTTGTTTCCATTCACATATTTAAAACTCAAATGTTAATGATAAGGTAATTTCCCGATAATTATTTTTTCAGTACTAACCTGACACATTTTTTAATAGCCCAATCATTTTTTTCAGACATCACTTAATTTATTTGTTAAATGTGTTCCTAAAGGTTAATTTGGTTGTTTACAAAAAATATTAATGCTTTCCAACATTTATGTAATTTTTCTTAATTTTATAAATGAGATCTCCGTGAAAGTAGCAATTTTATTTAGCCCACTTATTTTGAAAATAAAGAATGTTAGTGGGATTCGTTTATACATAATCTCCCGCCACGTAAGGGCATTGACGATAAAAATATTGGAACTAATTAATTATTTTCCCTAAAATAAAATTAAAATTCAATACTTTGAATACTTTTTAAGAAGGGTTTGACTTTATATGGCTTTTGTAGCAATAACCACCAAGTTTCCTTTAAAAGAAAATTAATTCAAGTAAACGATGCGCAACTAAGAAAAGAAATCTTTTTGTTTTCCTCCAAAAATGTGGAGAAACCACTAAAACGTTACGTTTAAATAAAGGAGGACTCTGACGGGGTAGCTATCTCCGTATGTATTTATAATTAGTGACGGAGTCAAAAATTTAGTAATGTATGTGTGAAAAAAAAATCAGTTGTAATGACAGGGCCGGCTCTATGCTTTGGGAAATAAGGTTTTTGCCTTAGGCCCCCAAATTTCGGGAACCCCAAATTTTTATCAAGAATAAATTATGTGTTAATATTTCTATAGAAAATATTGATTATTTATGATAAAAGGTATAATTTTTTTTAAAATATATTAATTTACCCACTTTAACATCTTTTATACTTTGTTAAAAATAATAATTAATAGTGAAAAGTGTTGAACAAAGTGAATTACAAATTCTTTTTTATTTCTTTTTAAATTTTAGTTTCAAGCATTACTACAAGCATACTAAAATGGGGTATACCAGTCAAATTTTATGGTTCTAACTTTTATCTTTAATTAATAATTGTCGACTTATTACTTATATAATTATGTTAACAATTCATATAATAATTGCCACACTGAAATGATGTTTTTTAATGTTGAGTTGATAAAATCTTACCTAAAACTAATAACTGGAAAAATAATATTAAAATACTAATAATTTTCATCTAAATAGTGTATGAAGTTTGTTTATATTTTAGGCCCTGAATTGAAATTTCGCTTTAGTCCTCCAATCACATTGAGCCGCCATTGGTATATGGGTGTATAAAATATATTGACTCATAATATTAACATTAAACTTCTTGATATCACATAATATTTCAATGAAGAGTGTGCACTGAATCACTCCTCACATAAAGTTATTCTGCTCATATTTACGTCAAATTAATGAATGCATAATATGTGTAATGTGTTGAAATACAATACTATTTACTTAATCACAATTGATTAATATATATTTTACTATATTACATTATTCAATTGCAATAAATTGTATTAATTTGATGTAAATAACATTGCAAGTAAGTATCTACCAAATGAGTGAAAAACAATTCAAACTTAAGAGGCATAAAATTCATTAATGTTTGAAATTTATAGGGTCATCACATAGATATCTCAATTATAACAACCCTGAAAAATAACATTTGATCTATGATCCATTATAAGTTATTTATATGGATCTTGTACACTCTAATAACTGAATCACAACTGTTAGAAGAAAGAAGGTCAATATATATATATATATATATATATATATATTCCTATTATATAGAAGAGTGAAGTGGTAGGACGATTAAGGGTAAAAATATAATTTCATGCTAACAAAAATCTACCAAGAATAATAACAAGAAAACTAAATAGTTCTAGAAACATCTTCATTTATTGTTATTATTATTAACTCATTTTATTATTACTTCACTTTCTTTTCTATTAATTACTCTATTTTATTATTATTTTAATTTATGTTTTAATATTTTTTCTGTTTATCATATTTACTAAAAATGCCTACTTTATTATAAAAGATTATTATTTTAAAATATAATTAATTGTTTCGACCCCGTTCTTGCTCGCATTGTATTTAAAGTTGAGGATTTCGCTTCTGATGTAGTCAGTGAGTGAAATAAGTGTGATAAAATTAATAATATTTATTAGATTGGAATTAAAGAATAAATAAAATTAATTTCAATATTTTAAAAGATGTTAAAAAGTAACTTTACAAATAAAATGAATATGATGGTATATTTGCATTTAAAGTAAACTATAAATGCTTACTAGATTATAAAAGAGTAGTTCTTCATTAAATATATAATCAAGTTTGTACTTTTACTTTGATTTCAAACATATTAATCTAAATATGTGAACTGATGTAAGTTTGATTTAAATTTGAAGTTGCCGGACCAAAACTTGGTATTTTTCTATTCTATAGAAATGTGAAGTTGAGGACGATGAATGGTAATATGGCCATTTCATATATATTTTATTTTAAAATTCTATAAATTGTATTTTTAAACTTGTCAAAATATTTTTTCAAGTGGGTAAATTTCCTCCACAAGTTACATGACTTTTCTAGGAACTATAAATTATAAGATTTTTCTAGAACTAAGTCGATGACACAAATAAATAGACATTAACTCATTCTTCATTTCATTCACTCCTCAATTCTCTCCCTCTCATGTCTTATACCAATAAATTTCTCGCCCTTTATTTCTAATTTGCGTCCTAATTATTATACACTCCGGCATAGATCTCTTATTAGGAAAAACAATAATGCATTTTTTTCCAGCATTAAGAACTTCATTTTTGATCAATTCTCTATATAATGACCCTACTTTTGTAAAATAATTATAAGACAAAAGTAAAATTCAATATTTCTTAGTGGACACAACATTTCTGGGACTTGTCCATATAGCCAATTTTCAGCAAAATTCAATTGTTCTACACTTTTCAAACACCCTAATGAATTAGTTAACATGTTAAATCCAATATCAATCACAATTGCGTTTCTCAAAATGCCTAATTCAAAAGGAATGCAACCATTGAACAAGCTCTTCAAGAACAAAATTTTCAATAATTACGGAGCATGTTATGTCATTTTCTTTGGTTCTCTTCAGACTTTTCAATTTCATGGTGTTGCTTCTTCTTTTTTTTATTGTAAAGATAATTTTTGAACTATCTAATTTACTTGATTCTCTTTTTATGTATAATCCGAAAACTTTACGTAACATATATGTCATTATATAATTTATTGAGAAACATATATTTATTTATTACTATTAGTTTATCATTAGTTAAAATCATTTTAATCAAGTTATATAAATTATTATATTAACTACCTCATGTTAAATTATTGTCATATACATTATATTTACTTTTGTTAATATTTTTAAATTCTCATTCATTTTAGGTAAACCGTTTATTCATCATATATATTAATTACTTTAAAAAAAAATCATCAAGTAGGTCATTATTTTTGTTTGTTAAACATCTATTATGTTTTATTATTATTTCTATCATGTTTATTTGAAAATATTATAATAATTTTTCTTTTAAAAAACTAATCAAATTTCTACTATAAACATATATAAGATTGTAATATTGGACCCGTAATGGGCCTTTCATCATCTAGTATATATATATATATATATATAATCAATTCCAAAATAATCTTAATCGTTATAATAAAATATAGTTATACATAATGTTATATTTAAAACCAAATTGTTGACTTTTCAAATAATGGTTCTAGGATTCTAGCCTCTCTTTTTTTTTTTAATGAAGGCATTATTACATATATATTCATAACCTTGAGAATTTTATTGAACAAATTAATGCAATTTTCAAGTGACAATCTTGTTCAATAATAGCATTAATGGGGAAGATACATAGGATCCATAAGAATATATGCATTTGATCAAAATTTTGGCCAACCAAAATATTTATATATAAATTTTAAAAATTGAGCATCTGTATTATAAGAAAAAAAAAAGGCATAAAAATGTACCAAAAATAATTATTGGGTTGGTAATACACATGGAATGCTGGAGTTTGGACTTTGGACCATAAAAGATTTGAATCTCACATCAAGATTGATCATAGATGGGAGAAATACAAATTGGTCACACATGGCCACCAATCTACAAGAAAAATTAAGATAATATGTTTATTTCATTTTATTCTTTGGACAAAAACAACCCAAAAAAATCATTTTTATAGCATGAAGTGGCTTATTTTGGATCGAGTTCGTACAATTTTTCTTCAAAAAGTCTTGTTTTTTAAAGATATTTTTTATGAGTGATATAATTCATATATGCCGATAATCTCTTCCTTGAACTAAATTTCACATGATCCATCGTCATTTATGGGCAAATCTAGAGATTAACTATGTTTCACTCACCTCAATAAAAATATTTTATGCTATCAAAGCTTAGTGTCTTGTTTTTTTTTTTTTGCGTGTATATGCATCTTTAAAGTTAAGGGTAAAGATAGCAAAATAGTCTGTAGACGATTAAATACGCTAAGTCAGGCCCTACTTATCACTCTATCATCTCATGATTCGTCACATTGAATCATTAGTGCTGACTTCTGATATCAAATGTTGAGTTAAAATAACCTCAAGATATCATAAACATGATGTGATATTGTTCACTTTAAG